TGGAGAGATGATTGAGAGGCTAATTACAAGCACACACACACACACACACTTGTGGTTTAAGCGGACTCTTCATAGGTGTAATGTATTTTATACTGTAAAACCCGCTTATTATATGGCCTTACCCTTACACTAAACACAATCCTTAAAGGAAACCTGTAGTACATTTTTAATGTCCAAACACCCCATTAAGAATGCATTTAAAGTGTTTGGATTAACATAGACACCAGGCATGTCCTTGTAAACCAGCTCAATAGAGCACAACTGGGTCACACCCATGTCATTACCCAATTTCATATATCAACCCAGCCTCATTGAAAATATGTGCCCAGGGCTACATTTTTGAGAACTGAGAAATATGTACCCTAGACTATGTGTTTTTGCAGTTTTTGTTTTCACAAATCCACTAAAGGGCATCGTGTACATTTTTAACAAGCTCAAATACGTTACTGGGGCATGCTTTCTTATACGTTCCATTTCTCGTAAATCCACCGGAAAGCTTAAAGTGAAAGAAGCTGAGGTTTGTTTCCCAAACAATGACATAACTCGTGGCTGAACTAGGGCGTTCATAGACTAGGTCTATCACAGTACTCAGAAATGTATCCCGGTTCTCAGAAATGTATCCCTGGGCATATTTTACCAATGGGCCTGTGCTGTCATACACTGTAAAACTGTTGGTATTTTAAAAACGTAACATAAAAATTTTTAAATAACGGCAGTTAAATTACAGAAATTTACCATAACACAACAGACTCTAAATTACAGAAATTTCCTTTAATTTTAATTTCTGGTAAATTTCTGTAATTTAACGTCTGTTATCTTATTTCTTAAATTTAATGGTCGTTGTTTAACTTTTTTTTTTTTTTTTTTTTTTTTTTGGGCACCGGAGCTGCGAAACATAAATTATGTGTCATTTCCTTATGGGGACCAACAAAGGTCAAAACTTGTCCCCATTTGGTCCCCTCTACATAACACACAAACATCACAGACTTAAACCAGAGCCTAATATCCTGTTATTTCAATAAACCATGCACTTAAGAAGAAAAAAAACTGCAGTGTGCACCTGAAAACATTGCAAAATGAGCTAATTAGAAAATTATGGTTAATGGAAACGGATAATGAAATGCTTGGATTCTCCAAATTACTCTGAGCATTGAGCAAAATTTAGAAAAGTGAAAGGCACAGCAGTTCTATTTCTCCTTGTATTGAACCATAAATACTTTTGTGACTGATTAAATATTTTCTGCAGTTTAGTCAGATATTGAGCTGTCTCAAGCCCTGTGCCAAGTGAGCGATACAGAGCCTTGAAAAAATCATAAATGACTATTAATTATGCAGATGCATTAGCTTTATAATTCCTGTTTTTGTCCTCTATAAATACTAATATTGACTAAAATTCATAGTGGGACTGATGATGTGTCCAAAATCTCATACTGTTTAGCAGGTAGGTGCTACAGCTAAATTTGAACTTATTTCAATACTATTAGAAAAGTACACATGTAGTACACATATGAGTAGCATTAAAGAAATTCAAGCTGGTCTCAGTCAGCTCCCTGTGATAAATCCAATTATCACTACATTAATTAAAAATGGAATTTTTCACATCCCTATAGCTCCAGAGGTCTTGATGTTCTGCCCATTTGGTCACAGTACCTTAATCATTATATATTGTGACACTGATGGTGACATAAGAGCAGATCAGGCTCATTGGAATTATGTGAATTCTGCAAAAACGTACTTCAACATATGTTTTACTGCAGTTTCTAGGTAAAGTGAATGCTACAGGGCAGAATTACACTAACAACTTTTGTTCATTTTTAAACTAACTACAACAATTTTACCCATTGTACCCAAGTGTTAAACACATCATGATTTCTCTTGGTAAATATATTTCTAAAGGAGCTGTTGACATGAAATTGAGCTAGATTTTGGTAAAAATGCAAACAATCCAAACATACTAACAAACAAAACGATGTTGTTACTTGTAATAACAATGGAATGACAAAAGGTGAAGGTACCAAATACTGAAATGTATTTAACACATTGTATAAAAGACTTTTTTTGACAGCTTTAAGACACCTCTTATATGAAGAATGGAGTCGCATACATTGCTTGGGTGTCAACAAATTCTAAAAATCTTGACAAATCTGTGGGTCTTGTGGGAGAAATCTGCTCTTTAGTCCTTATTTTCTATTGGATTTAAGTCAGGTGATTAGCTGGAGCAATCTAGCAGCTTATCTCCTTTTTTGAAACCATTTAAGAGTTTCCTTGGCAGTGTTTTGGTCATTATCTTGCTGAAATATCCAACTTGGTTCATCTTCATCATCTAATAATGTAGGTGTTGAGACTGAAGCAGCTAATATTCATTTACACTGACAAATGGCAGGGTTGCTTTCTTACTGAGGGATTTCAGCTGCTGTCTGGTCTTTCCATGACTTTTCACATTTTCCTTTCCTTATGTGTTCAATACTTTTTCTCTGCATCAATACCCATAACTTGATTTCTAAACTAATTAGTTTTGTTTTCTTTTTTTGTGTGAATCACTTTGGTTGTTACTGACATCTGGTGAAAATTTCAAGTCAACAGCACCTTCGGAAATTAATTTTCGGAGAAAAAGTATGACATGTTCTATATTTATTTTACATTTACAGGGACATATTAATGACTAATAAAAGACTATTTTGAGCAGTTCTTTGCACATCATTCAAAAAATACCACAAAACAAATTTACAGTGTATATGAGTTGCAGTCAAATACCTTTGCTTTGCCTATCTATCTCCATGTGGACAACGTTTCCGCTTTTGTCAGTTTCTCTGTAGCTTTTTTTGTACAGTGCTCGGGTTTGAGTCGCAAGGTTCACCAAAAGAGATAATTAATTTAATACACTATTTAATCATATTTGTAAATGGAAGTTAATGAAAATAATGTCATCCATTGTAAGTCATGTTTACTCACAATCCATTAACTAATGTTATCAAGCACAACTTTTTATTATTATTGCATTAGTAAATGTATTAACTAACATTAACTATAATAACAATTGTTGTACAAGTATAGTTGATTCTTAAATAATGTAAATAGATTAATTAATAAAACCTTATGTAAAGTGTGATCATTGCAACATCATATTTACAGCTTTGGTAAATGGTAGCCTTCTACAGCTCTCTATTATGTTATATTATATTATATTATATTATATTATATTATATTATATATTTATTTTATTATATTATATTTTTTTTAATTCATTCATTTTCGTTTCAGCTTAGTCCCATTATTAATCCGGGGTCGCCACAGCAGAATCAACCGCCAACTTATCAAGCATTTGTTTTACACAGTGGATGCCCTTCCAGCAGCAACCCATCACTTTGAAACCCATACAAACTCATTCGCACTCATACATACACTATGGACAATTTTAGCCTACCCAGTTCACCTGTACCACATGTCTTTGGACTGTGGGGGAAATCGGAGCACCTGGAGGAAACCCACACTCAGTAACGCCAACTGACCCAGCCGAGGCTCGAACCAGCGACCTTCTTGCTGTGAGGCGACAGCACTACCTACTGCGCCACTGCGTTGCCCCTATATTCTATTCTATTCTATTCTATTCTATTCTATTATATTATATTATATTATATTATATTATATTATATTATATTATATTATATTATATTATATTACCATTTATGGCTGAATGGCTAAAAATTAAATTATAAATAATTAATATAAATGATCTTTATATCTTTTATTTATAAAAATGTAAAATATGAGCTGCATAATATAAAACATAAATTAAAAAAGCTGCAAAAAAACATAAATACAGATAAATCTGGTATTAAAATGGATTAATAATGTTTGATTTGTTTATATTACGTTTTTATTTAGAAAAAGAAGAATTCTAAATTATTTTTCACAAAGACGCATGAAATTAAGGATCATTTGCTTAATATGATGAATGAATGTACAGTTGAAGTCAGAATTGTTAGCCCCCTTTTGAATTTTTTTCTCTTTTAAATATTTCCCAAATGATGTTTAACAGAGCAAGGAAATTTTCACAGTATGTCTGATAATATTTTTTCTTCTGAAGAAAGTCTTATTTGTTTTAATTTCGGCTAGTAAAGCAGTTTTAAAATTTTTAAACACCATTTTAAGGACGATATTATTAGTCCCTTTAAGCTATTTTTTACGAGTCTACAGAACAAACCATCCTTATACAAAACCTTGCCTAATTACCCTAATCTGCCTAGTTAACCTAATTAACCTAGTTTAGCCTTTAAATATCACTTTAAGCTGTTTAGAAGTATCTTGAAAAATATCTAGTAAATATTATTTACTGTCATTATGACAAAGATAAAATAAATCAGCTATTAGAGATGAGTTGTTAAAACTATTATGTTTAGAAATATGTTGAAAAAATATTCTCTATGTTAAACAGAAGTTGGAGAAAAAAATAAACAGGGGGCTAATAATTCAGGGCGGCTAATAATTCTGACTTCAACTGTATATATTAAACATTATATTAAACTTTTAAAGGTGGGATTTAATGATGCTGAATTCAGGAAATTCAAGCAAATGTCTCACATACTGTTGATGTGCTAATTTTAGTAGCCTAATTTACACTTAATGTATTGTTGTTGTTTTTTTCATCCAAAGCTACATTCATTCCAGCTACATATTATATTAGTTCACACACTTCCTCCTCTGCCTGACTCTATTAGTTAAATAAATCACCTTTTCACACACTTTTATGTTTTGTATTTTTGATTAGGATTTAAACAGAGTTCACCGATCTACTGGAGCCCTCTTGTGGATGGGCAATCATCCAAACCCTCCATTTGGCAGACGGACTGACTAACAGCCAGTTAACGACAGCACAACAAAGACCGAAACAAAATACAACAACAACAATGAAACTACTTCTATCCTCCATTATAAGGTGGAAACACTTGAAATGCTCGTCTATATGGCAGCTGTTCATACTCACCTCGACGTAATGGTGACACCGCAGGGAAAGCTAGAAGGTTGTACAGTTAACTCCAGGCTGATTATGATGCAAAACCATACAACCAACTACCTCAGCCTGCAGCGCACAGACTCCAGTATCCATTCCTACATCACTAGCACTAGCAGGTGTCAATATATTTCAAGTGTAATGTCTTCCCCTACTGGACAACCAGTGTAAGGCAACACATCATTCCTATCTGACAAAATTATCTATACTGCCTGAAGGTTTTTGTGATGTTATTAAGATTTTTGCTCATTTGGCGAAACAGAATAATTTTCATTGCTATCAAAGGGATAGTTCACCCAAAAACAACAATTCGGTCATCATTTATGGTACATCCTCCACTTGTTCCAACCCTGTTTTTTGTGAAACAGCAAGAAAGATTATAGTGAAAAATGTTCGATTGGAGTTTAATTTATTTGACATAATCAAACATTGTATTGAACATTATATTAAACTTTATATATGGCATTTTATGATTTTGATATTACAAACTTCCAGTAAATGTCTCACAAACTGCTAATATACAAACTTTTATAAGTAATTTACACAGAAAAATGTGAATACTTAAAATATATTTTATTTTATGTTTTGTCAGTGGCTGCGTTCTTCAAAATATCTTGGTTTGTGTTCAACAGAAAAGAGAAATTTATAAATGTTTAGGTATATTTGAGTATTATTCAATGAGCAAATGGTGAGGAAAGTTTTATTTTTTGGGTGAACTATCCCTTTAAAATGTAATTTAATAAGTGAGTAATTGAAGTTTAAGACTTTATTTCCCCCTAAAATAAAAGAATGTTGTCATTATTTGCTCATATCATGGTCACAATTTACAATAAGTCTCCTTTACTTAACAAATAATACCTGTACAGCATTTATAAGTCAGAATTTAACATTTTTTTTTCGCAATATTAATATTTATCTAGTAGTTCTTGTTAAAAGTAGTTAATCCACAGTAAGAATAATGACTTTAGTTCTATTGAGTAACGTCAACAAAGACAAATATACATTGAAATAAATGTATTATTCGTTGTTTGTTGTTAGTAAATTGTTGTTACCCAACATTGGGTCGATGTATTTTACAAATTTAGCGTCTATAAGAACCAATGAGATTTGTCAATGCGACTCGCATCAGCAAATTTAAGCGTTTACAAGAACCAATGAGGTTTTATGTTGTGAATTACATTAGCAAATTTAATGGTCTATAAGAACTAATTCAATTTGTCGATGCGAGTCACATCAGCAAATTTAAGCATCTACAAGAACCAATGGGGTTTGATGTTGCGAATTACATTAGCAAACTTTAGCGTCTATAAGAACAAATTCGATTTGTCTTGTGAGTGACATCGGCAAATTTAGGCATCTACAAGAGCCAATGAGATTTGTCGATGCGAGTCACATCGGCAAATTTAAGCTTCTACAAAAGCCAATGAAATTTGTCGATGTGTGTACATGAGCAAAATTAAGCGTCCACATGAACCAATGAGATTTATTGATGCCAGTCTCATCAGCAAATTTAAACTTCTACAGAAGCCAATGAAATTGGTCAATGCAAGTCACATCAGCAAATTTAAGTGTCTATAAGAACCAATGAGATTTATTGATGCGAGTCATAGCAAATGTAAGCGTCTATAAGAATCAATAAGATTTGTTGTCGCCAGTCTCATCAGCAAATTTAAGCTCCTACAGAAGCCAATGAAATTGGTCGATGCAAGTCACATCTGCAAAATTAAGCATCTATAAGGACCAATGAGATTTGTCGATGAGAGTACCATAGACAAATTTAAACTTCTAGTAGAACCAATGAAATTTGTGGATGTAAGTCAAATCTGCAAATTTAAGCATCTATAAGAACCAATTGGATTTGTTTTATTGCGTCAAGCACAGTTTGGTTGAGTTTGTGTTTACGTCCAATGATTAATGTTTATATGCATGAAAAATAAAAAGTTAAATAAACTTGCTTGTCATTTAAATTCTTTGTGTATTTTCAGAATACTTAGTCTCTTCATGACCTTTTTGAACAGTCTTTCAGAGGAGAAACAGAAATCTCTCAGGTTTTATGAGTAATATCTTAACTTGAGTTCTAGAGATTAATGAAATTCTTATGGGTTTAAAATGACATGAGGGTATAAGATGATGAGATTTTTCAACTGTCCTTTTAAGGAGTGGAAATGTTGTCTTATGCGCAGACATACACACATTTCTCATCTTCATAGCAACCACAGTCTTGCGGTCTGAAAAAAGCTATTTCAATGCAACAACATAAATGAATGCTTTTGTGAACGCAGAGCGCTGTGTTGATGAACAGGACTGATTTCTCCATTATTGTTTATTAATAGGCATCTTTACATTCTATAGTTCATCCCTGAGATGAATCCTCGATTGAAGATGAGACACTTGAGAAAGCAAATCAATCTGTGGAGATAATAAAGACCTTCTCAAAGCTGGAAATACAATTTTGAGAGACTAAAAAAACTAAATGGTAAAATTTAATCTCTATGGATCAAGCTTTCATGAATTGACCTGTTTTTTAAACATCTTACTTATTGCCCTGGCAAAAGCGACTGATAAGAATGTCTGATTTGGACACTATAAAGAACTAAGAAATTGCACATGCTTAATGAGAGACTTCAATCAATTTCAAATATGGTTCAAACAAGAAAAAAGGCCTTTCATCTGTTTGGTTTGGAACTTCTGCATGTCTAAAACCTGAGAAAATGAATACAGCCTTTGAATCGATGTATTTTTTAATTTGTCTCCGTGATGAAAATTCTCAATTTGCCATTTGTGAACTCAAAGGTTAGTTTAATTGACCAACATTTATCAGATACTTTAGTTTAAACTGATTACTCACCAGGATGCCATTCCAAAGCAGTATGATATAAACTCTGTGCAAAAAGAAAAGGAAAATGTTTTAAGTTTAACATGCGACAACTTCTGAAATTAATTTACAAACTGAATTCACAGAACTGCTACATGTAATTATATTTGATCATAATTTAATATTTATTCAATCATTTCTGCGTAAATACTGTAATTAACTTACTGCATGCTTTGAATAATTTTATAGTTCTACTTAATGGACATTAGCTATTAATATGTCACCAACTTTAATCTGATATAACATTTCCAGGGCTTGACATTAACTTTTTTGATCAGCAGCCAGCCACTGTGACTAGTAGATTTTCAACATTCCTAGCCACTCGCCATTTTCACTAGCCACACTTTAGCAGTTAGAAAAATATATATTTATGAATTAAATTAACTTTGGCATGCTAAAATCACTGATTTAGATTTTGTGTTATGACCACATGAGTCCTCATTCATTTCACTTTTTGTGTATGAGCTTGCTCAATGAGCATGAGCAAATGGGGTTTTGGTTTTATATTGCATTGCAATTAGTTCTTGTTTCACAAGACTTTTCAGGGCTCAACACTAAGGATTTACTTATATTTTTTCTCTGGCAGCACCAAAAATAAACAAATAAATAAGTAATTTCTTAGCCACAAATTTTAAATAATTAGAAATTTTCAAAACAAGCAAAATATAGCTGTATACTTACACTTTTTATTCAATTTCTGTCTAGCCCGCCACAGCTGAAATCTACCCGCATTTGGCAAGTTTTTAAGGTCAAGCCCTGAATATTACCCTCAAAGGGAAAGTTCACCTCAAAATTAAAATGTACTCACTCAAATATGCTGATTTTCCAGTGGTTCCATTACTTTATGTGTTTCTTTATTCCTGTTGAACACAAAAAAAGACATTTTAGAAAAAAAATTACAAATCAGTAACCATTGACTTAAAGTGAAAAAACTAATTATTGCAAAAGCTTCTACAAGAACCAATGAGCCTCATTGTTGCTGTTTACATCTAATAGTCAATGTCTATACGTGGAAAAATGTTAAATTAAACCTGTTTGTCATTTACATTGTTTGTGTATATTAAAAAGACTTTTAAAAGAGAAACAAATCTTTCCGGTTTCATGATGTAAGCTGCGTCCCAAATCGCATACTTATGCACTATTTTACGCCATTTTGTAGTATAAATAGTGTAAGTAGTGTGTTCACATTGAAAACTCTCAAAATAATAAGTGCACTTTAATTACCCGGATGATGCACTCATTCAGCCGCTAAAATGAAGTGTGTAATGATGGACACTTCACGCACTCAACGACCGCAGGTTTGCTTACGTAGCGGAAGGGGCGGAGCGATCGGACGCACATGTTGAATAACTTTATTTATTTTGGATAGTGAAAGCAAAATTCTCCTACGAGAGTGATTATAGCGCCTCCGGATGGCAAATGCGGCAATACTCACGGCATGTATTACTTGATAATTCAGTCGTTTATTTCACTGATTTGGCAACAGTCAAACGTCATCAGGGAAACGGTTTAAATTTCCGCTTAGTAAAAAAACATTAGTGTGCCATTTGGGACAGCACTACATACATATACTATCCTGTTGAGTGTGTAAGTGCATAAGTACATAGTGCATGAGTGCATAGTGTATAGTGTGCCATTTGGGACGCAGCTGTACTTCCAACTGCAACAGAATATTGAGTAGGTGGGCGGGGCTTTCTTTTTTACATCATTTTCTCATAGCAAACTTTGATTGTAGATTACCAAAACAAACTTTTTTATTTCAGTGGATTAACTTGCACAAATTAATTATTCACTTTAGGAATAACAATACAAGCTGGCAAAATAAACATTGTAGATTTTGATTTAAGGGGAACTTTAAGTGTAAGGATTTGTCGATGCGAGTCACGTGAGCAAATTTAAACTTCTACAAGAACCAATGAGTTTGTTTACATCTGATGATCAATGTCTATATGAGACAAAAATGTTAAATCAAACCTGTTTGTCATATAAATTGTGTATTTTCAGAAGACTTTCAAAAGAGAAACAAATCTTTCCGGTTTCATGATGTAATTCCAACTGCAACAGAATATTGAGTAGGTGGGCGGTGCTTTCTTTTTTACATTATTCTCTCATAGCAAACTTTGATTGTAGATTACCAAAACAAACTTTTTTATTTCAGTAGATTAACTTGCTCGGATTAATTATTCACTTTAAGAATACACAATAGAAGCTAGCAAAATAAACATTGTAGATTTGGATTTAAGGGGAACTTTCAGTGTAAGGATTTGTCGATGCGAGTCACGTGAGCAAATTTAAACTTCTACAAGAACCAATGAGTTTGTTTACATCTGATGATCAATGTCTATATGAGACAAAAATGTTAAATCAAACCTGTTTGTCGTATAAATTGTTTGTGTATTTTCAGAAGACTTTCAAAAGAGAAACAAAGCTATCCGGTTACACGATGTGCTTCCAACTGAAACGGAATATTGAGTAGGTGCATCGATTAATTATTAATTTTAAGAATAACAATGCAAGCTAGCAAAATAAACATTGTATAATTTTGATCTCACTCGGACTTCAAGTATGATACATTCACATGAGTTAAGTGCGCTCGCTGACAAAAGTCTTGTCGCTGACCCAAGTTTTAGAAACAGCAAATAATGACTTGACTTCTAGTTGATCATTTGGTATCAGAAGTGGCTATATGACTGGCAAGGCCTCTAGATTATGCTTGTTTTACCAAAATAAAATATGATCATGTCTTGATTTTTAATTATTTCATTAGGACAGTAAGGTCTGACTTTGCTTAGACAAAAGTCTTGTCACTTAACAGAAATAAAGTACAGTGTAGAATATAAAGTCATGGTGCAGTGGAGAAAGAATTAATATTGTGTATGACTCCCATGAGCTTGGACGACTGCATCCATACATCTCTGCAATGATTCAAAAAACTTATATAAGCTATCTGGAATGGCAAAGAAAGTGTTCTTGCAGGACTCCCAGAGTTTATCAAGATTCTTTGGATTCATCTTCAATGCCTCCTCCTTCATCTTACCACAGACATGCTTAATAATGTTAATGTCTGGTGACTGGGCTGGCCAATACTGGAGCACCTTGAACTTCATTGCTTTCAGGAACTTTGATGTGGAGGTTGAAGTAATAGATGGAGCGCTATCCTGCTGAAGAATTTGTCCTCTCCTGTGGTTTGTAATGTAATGGGCAGCACAAATGTCCTGATACCTCAGGCTGTTGATGTGGCCATCCCCTCTGCAGATCTCTCACACGGTCACATACTGAATGTAACCCCAAACCATGATTTTTCCCTCACCAAACTTGACTGATTTCTATGAAAATCTTGAGTCCATACAGTCTTTTGCAGTATTTGTGATGATTGGGATGCAGGAAAAAATCGACCTTCTGCCACTTTTCCAAATGAGCAACTAGAAGTCAAGTTATTATTTGTTGCTCTTACAACTGGAATCAACGGCAAGACTTTTATCTTACATTTGAACAATTCCTCTTAAAAAAAAAAAACAATAAATTTAAGTAAACAATTCTTTTAACACCAAACAGTTAACATTTCGATTGAGCCACTGCTTTAACAAGAAACAGTTAGTGTTCTCATTGTTACTCTTCGAGACAGAGACCCAGACACCCTCAGACACATATGCTGGACAGCTCTGTTCCTCTGACAATGACAGAGATCTCCAGGGTGAGACATGAATGCGCTCCAAACATTGACTGCATTGCTTTATTCATCCGCTTTCTCGCTCTCTGTCCTTTTCACAGTCAAGCGCTTTCATTTTACAGACTCAAAATAATCTGCGAGCTTAACTGCGAACACAGTTTGGCCTATAGATTGCTCTTCATATTGCTGTGCTTTAGGTCACTTCTGCGCTTTGCTATCCTTTTTAGACTTTTTGTCCTTCTCTCCCTGGCTCGACTCCACCCTGTCTTCCTCCCTCTTTCTTTTTCTTTCTCTCACTGCCACATTCGCAGTCCAATCACGTGCGAATGCGGCACGATGGTGCCAGTGCCAGCTTTTTGCCAACCTAAGTGTCTGTGTGTGTCTTTGCCAGCATGAATCACTGAGACATAAGGTCACACACTTGTCATGATCTTAATCATCAGACCACATCGTGATGAAGATCCGACTTGTCCAAATTTTGGAAAGTTTTAAAGTGTTCGCAAATTAAAAATAGCTTTGAATTCTCATTAAAAAAAGCATCATTTAAATAAACACAATGTGACAAAGATACAAAGTTTGTCAGCCATATTAAAGTTCAATGTAATGGCACTTAACAAAACTCTTCCACCCTGCCCGTGTCTTTCTTTTTACTCCCTTCTTTTCGTTATTTCTTCTGTCACTCTTCATCTCCTCTCCTCTTGATTACCCAAACCCTCTCCCTCCCCATAAGCCTGTGTGTCTGTCTGCCGATACCTTATTCAAAAAGCCAGCGAATGGCAGGTTGCTATGGGAACTTGCTGCTTGGCAACTTGCTGGCTTGGCGATGTGCCCATCGGTTGCCAGGGCAGTGTTGTCAGTGGCAGCTAAGTGCCGTGCCAGCTGTGTGCGTCTGGATGTGGATCTATAATGTGTTCATTTTGCTTATGTGGACATCCATAAGTTATATGCACTGAGTAGATATGCTTTTGAGATATGCTGAATTTTGAAATAAATAAATAAAAAATTATACAATGTATGACTTGGAAAGATTGCAAGTTCGAATTTGAAGCAGTATGTTGTACATTTTTTAAAGTAATAATTATAGTGTTTAACAGACAAAAAAACAAAACAAAACAGAAAGCATATATATTCATAAGTAATATGTTTTTTGTATAATAAATGTAAGCTATTATTAGGATCATTAAGAGTCATATTTCATAAGAACTTTGTTTATTAATATTTTTAAGGCAAATTGTTAAGCATTTATACATTATGGTATCATTTTTAATTGTAGGAATAATTTTTTTGTAATATTGCACCAAATTAAAAGAATAAAAATAAATGAAATAATAAATAAATAAACAAATATACAAATAAATAAATACATAAAATAAAATAAAATATTTTTGTAATATTGCACTGAAGTAGAAAAATAAAAAGTGTGACTGTATAATAGGAAGAATAATAAAAATAAATGAAATAATAAATTAATAAATTAATAAATTAATTAATTAAATATTTTTGTTATTTTGCACTGAATTAGAAGAAAAAAAGTGACTGTATAATGGCAAGAATAATAAAAATAAATAAGATAATTAATAAAGAAATGGTTAAATAAATAAATAAATCAAAAAATATTTTTGTAATAATGCTGTGAAGTAAAAGAATAAAAAGTGTGACTGAATAATAGGAAGAATCATGAAAATAAATTAATGAATTAATAAATTAATAAATAGATAAATAAATAAATATTTAGTAATATTTAACTGAAGTAGAAGAATAAAAAGTGTGACTAAATAATGGAAAGAATAAATAAATAATGAAATAATGATTAAATAAATAAATGAATATATTTCACTGAATCAGAAGAACAGGAAGTGTGACTATATAATGGGAAGAATAATAAAATAAATGAAATAATTAATAAATAAATTAATAAATAATTATTGCCAAAGATGGGTTGCAGCTGGAAGGGCATCGGCTGCGAAAAACTTATGCTGGATAAGTTGGCAGTTTGTTCTGCTGTGGCGACCCTGGATAAAAAAAAAACATACTAACCCGAAAAGAAAATGAATGAATGAATAAACAAACAAACAAACAAATAAATAAATAAATAAATAAATAAATAAATAAATAAATAAATAAATAAATAAAATATTTATTTGTAATATTGCACTGAATCATAAAAATAACAAGTATGACTATAATGGGAAGAATGATAAATATAAATGAAATAATTAATGAACAAATAGAGAAATTAATAAATAATTACCTAATTTTGTACTGAATTAGAAGAATAAAAAGTGTACCTGTATAATGGGAGGAATAATAAAATAAATAAAAAAGGATTAATAAATAAATAGAGAAATAAATAAATATATAGGTTTTATAAAATTGCACTGAATTAGAAGAATAAATAGGGTGACTGTATGGAAAGAATAATACAAATAAATGAAATAATTATTAAATAAACAAACATAGAAACAAATAAATAAATAAATGAGGTCAGTTGGCATTTCTGTGTGGAGTTTGCATGTTCTCTCAGTGTTCGCGTGGGTTTCCTTCAGGTGCTCCGGCTTCCCCCACAGTCCAAAGACATGTGCTATAGGTGAATTGAGTAAGCTAAATGATAGTGTATGTGTGTGAATAAGTGTGTATGGATGTTTCCCAGTGATGGGTTGCAGCAGGAAGGGCATCTGCTGTGCAAAACATATGCTGGATAAGTTGGCGGTTCGTTCCGCTGTGGCAACAACAGATTAATAAAGGGACTAAGCCGAAAAGAAAATTAATGAATAAATAAAAAAATAAATAAACGAATGAAATATTTTTGTAATATTGCACTGATTAAGAAGAGTTAAAGGTGTGACTTTATAAAGGGAAGAATAATAAAAATAAATAAAATAATGAGTAAATGAATAAATAAATAAATAAATAAATAAATAAATACATAGATAAATAAATAAATAAGACAAATAAATAAATAAAAAAATGTTATAAAAATGTAACATAAACTTAGCTTCATTTACTTTATGCACAATATTATTTTTGTCATATCATTGTGTAGGAAAATATACATATTGTATTTCAATTGTAAAATGTGCATACATACGTTTTTATGTATTTATCTTGTATTTATCGTTCCCTTATTCCTTTCCCGGAGAAGGAATAACAACGACCAGTCCAAATGTTCGTCCCTCAGCATTTCTGCAATCAGAAATGACATTAAAATCATTTAATGACCGTATTAACAGATATACAAGGCTTTTTGTTTTACAACAAACTTCCCAAAAAGGCATTTAAATGACAAAGTTGCCATAAATTCGGTCTTTTTATTTAAACGACACGATCTCTGCAGCAGGATTGCCTTTAGGTGCTTTTATCAGTGTACAATATCAGGTAACACTGACACTGTATATACAATAAGTGCTTCTCGACTAATGTACAGATAATCAGCGAGCAGAAATTTGAGCTCCACGTGTTGATGAAAAAGTCTTTAGGTTAAAAGCTGTGCTCACGCTGAATTAATAACATCTATATACACTCCCTGACAAAAGTCCATTCGCTCCTCCAAGTTTTACGAACAACAAATATCTTCTAGTTGATCATTTGGTATCAGAAGTAGCTTATACAGGAAAGGTAAGGCCTCTAGACTACACTCATTTTACCAAAATAAAATATGATCATGACTTAATTTTTAATTATTTAATTAGGACAGTAAGGTCTAACTTTGCTCAGACAAAAGTCTTGTCACTTAACATAAATAATGAATAGAATATAAAGTCATGGTGCAGTGGAAAAAGAATTAATATTGTGTATGACTCTAATGAGCTTGGATGACTGCATCTATACATCTCTGCAATGACTCGAATAACTTATATAAAGCCGTCTGAAATGGCAAAGAAAATGTTCTTGCAGGATTCCCAGAGTTCATCAAGATTCTTTGAATTAATCTTCAGTCTCTCATCCTTCATCTTACCCCTGACATGCTTAATAATGTTCATGTCTGGTGACTGGTCTGGCCAATCCTGGAGCAATTAAACCTTTTTTCTTTAGGAAGTCTGATGTGGAGGCTGAAGTATGAGAGCTATTCTGCTGTAGAATTTGCCCTCTCCTGTGGTTTGTAATGTAATGCGCAGCATAAATGTCTTGATACCTCAGGCTGTTGATGTTGCCATCTATTCTGCAGATCTTACACAGACTCCCATACTGAATGTAACCCCAAAAACTATGATTTTTCCTTTTCTAAACTTAACTGACTTGTGAGAATCTTAGGTCCATGCGGGTAACAATGGGTCATGCAATTCATTTGAAAAATCTACCTTCTGACACTTTTCCAAAAGAAGTCCAGTTATTATTTGTTGCTCTTACAACTGGCATCGACGACAAGACTTTTGTCAAGTAGTGTACATCATACCACTCTTACATTGAACCACACAGTCTGATATATCTGAGCAGAAGGAAAGAGCGCATGTGGCATGTTACCAAAAAACAATGCACAACTTGGCTACATTAATGTAACACCACAGGAAAGCCGAGCCAAATGTGAAAAAGCCAAATGAATATCTATAACTGAATTCCGTTTAATTGTCGAGAGCGCTTAGCAATACGTGCAGAACATATTTAAAGCAGCTTTACAAAAAAAGGGTGATGGTGACAAGGAAAAAACTGCTTCAGGATGTGTGCGGATGTACGGAAGAGGAATTCATTGGATTGAATGTCTACTAAACTCTTCAACAATGTTAATTTGATGAGAAATGTAATGAGTTGAAGGGTCAGGAGCAGTTCGCATGAAGGAATGTTTTAATGAAATACATGTGAATTGAGTTACTGCAGCGGTAAAACTTCTATTAATGAATTGAACATATGAATGTACTATTTTTAAATTGTGTCACTTAAACCTCAAGTAATTACATCCGGATCCACTAAATGTATACTAAATGACTCCTATATTCAAGTTGTTTAGATGGTAGTCCAATATATACATCGTCACTGGATTTTAAATGTGATTTTTCCTTTACAAGAAGCGTCTTCTGCTCACCAAGCCTGCATTTACTTCAAGTACGGCAAAAGCATAGACTTTTCAATATACCGTTTAAAATAACTGTTCTCTATTTAAATCAGTGCTGGGCAAAGATTAATCATGATTTATTGCATCCAAAATAAAAGTCTTGGTGTGTATTCATTCATTCATTTGCTTTTCGGCTTAGTCCCTTTATTAATCTGGGGTCACCACAGCGGAATGAACCGCCAGCTTATCCAGCATATGCTTTATGCAGCGGATGCCCTTCCAGCTGCAACCCATCCCTGGGAAACATCCATTGGGTGTGTATTGTTTATTTTTATAATGTATATGTGATACTAAAAACAAAACCGTACAAACTATTTTGTTATATAGATATTTAAAAGTATATATAATTTGTATCATATACATATACACAGGGGCGGCATGGTGGCTCAGTGGTTAGCACTGTCGCCTTAGTAAGGAGCTTTCATTTACTGTTGACCTGATGGCATGGAAAAGGCTCAGCTTCTTGGAAAGAATGAACTTTAGTATCAAATGTTTGACATATTTTTACATCTTTGTCCAGCTGTCGAGACTTTACTACAATCCCAGAATATGGCATAAGCAATTGATGCTATTATGCAAATATACAATGTAAACGATGCGTCGTTGAAAATAAATGACTGAAAGCCAGCAAGTATTTGGGAAAATAACCAAAAAAGTTGCAACATTTTGGTTATTTTTCAAAATATATGATTGCTTCCAATTATAATATGTTTACATTTTTTTATCCAAAGCGACTTACAAATGAGGACAAGGAAGCAATTTACACAACTACAAGAGCAACAATGAATAGGTGCTGTAGGCAAGTTTCAGGTATGTAAAGTGTAAGAAGCAAAAGCATTAGTAATTTTTTGTAGTACAGTTAGCGGTGGAGCCAGAGAGGCAATTGCAGATTGGGAAGGAAAGTGGAGACTAAATAGTTGAGTTTTTAGTAGTTTCTTGAAGACAATGAGTGACTCCGCCATTCTGATGCAGTTAGGGAGTTCATTCCACCAACCGGACAGATTGAACGCGAGCGTTCGGGAAAGTGATTTCTTCCCTCTTTGGGATGGAACCACAAGGCGACGTTCATTCACAGAACGCAAGTTTCTGGAGGGCCTATAAATCTGCAGAAGTGAGAGCAGATAAGAAGGAGCGCAGCCAGAAATCGCTTTGTAAGCAAACATCAGAGCTTTGAATTTGATGCGAGCAGCAACTGGCAGCCAGTGCAAACGGATGAGTAGCGGAGTGACATGTGCTCTTTTAGGTTCATTAAAGACAACTCGTGCTGCTGCGTTAGTAAAGAGTTGCAATAGTCCAGTCTGGAGAGAACAAGAGCTTGAACAAGGAGTTAAGCTGCATGTTCAGATAGGAAGGGTCGGACCTTTCTGATGTTATAGAGTGCGAATCTGCAAGATCGAGCAGTTCTAGAAATGTGGATGTTGTTACATGAATAGTACAGGCAACACGGTGGCTCAGTGGCTAGCACTTTCGCTTTACTGCCAGAAGGTCGCTGGTCCAAGTCCCGGTTGGATCAGTTGGCATTTCTGTATGGAGTTTGCATGTTCTCCTAGTGTTTACATGGGTTTCCTCCGGGTGCTCCGGTTTCTCTCGTGCCCCATTCACACGGGGCGTCAGCGTCAATGCTTCCCATTCACTTTGAGTGGGTGACGTCAGGTATTGACGAACTGCATTGTGGATCCGTTGGCGCCGCTTCAGAGGCGTTGCTCGCTGCAAAAATTGGGACTAGCTCAACTTTTCAAGCGCCGATGGAAGTGCCAGCCAATCAGATCGCTGAATGCAAATACACTAGCTAGACAGCTAGGCAGCTATGACGATCGTGTTATGCCCCAACTTCAGACACACCTTCAGTCAAGCGTTGACGCTGACGCCCTGTGTGAATGGGAAGTCACAGTCCAAACACATGCGCTATAGGTGAACTGGGTAAACAAACATTAGCCGTAGCGTTTGAGTGTGCACGTGAATGAGTGTATGGGTGTTTCACAGGACTGGGTTGCAGCTGGGAGATCGTCTGCTGCGTATAACATTTGCTGGAATAGTTGATGGTTCATTCCACTGTGGCGACCCCTGATAAATAAGGGACTAAGCCGAAGGAAAATCAATGAGTGAACATATATACAGTATATTTAATCTATAAATAAACATTTTTCTCAAATATATACATGCATGTGTGTATTTATATATGCTTGATAAATATACACAGTACACACACACATATATTGTGTCAAAACAAAGTTTTATTTTGGATTTGATGAATTGTGATTAATCTTGACTAGCACTAATTTGAATGCATTTTTAAAAAGTAATTTACTCCTGGATGACACGGGGAAGCAGTGGAAAGCACGTTCGCCTAACAGCAAGAAAGACGCTGGTTTGAGCCCTGGCTGGGTCAGTTGGCATTTCTGTGTGAAGTCTGCATGTTCGCGTGGGTTTCCTCTAGATGCTCCGGATTCCCCCTGTAGTCCAAAGACATTTGATATAGGTGAACTGAATAAGCTAATTTGGCCGTAGTGTGTGTGAATGAGAGAGTATGTGTGTATCCACTGTGTAAAACATATGCTGGATAAGTTGTTGGTTCATTGCGCTGTGGTGACCCTCGATTAATAAAGGGACAAAGCTGAAAATGAAAATTAATGAATGAATTTATTCCTGTTATTTCAATCATATTTAACATAATTACTCCAGTCACACTACCGTTCCAATATTCTGATATGCTAATAACAACATTTATTATTATTAATTTGTTGAAAAAGTTCTTTCAGTTCCCCTTCGGATGGGGAACTCCAATGCTATGTGGAAGACCTTCCACTTATGACGAAAACCCCATAATTGGAAGGTTTTCCACATAGCAACGGAGTTCCCCCCCTCAAGGAACGAGGGTTACTTTAGTAACCGTAACGTTTCCTTTGTTAAACAGATGGTTCAGAGTCATGTCTGAAAAATGAATCTTTGCAACATACAATAAATGTTTTTATCACTTTTGTGTAAAAAGTGATAAATACACAATATCAACCTAAGCTCGAAGTCGCATAAGAAATCATCAACTGAACAGTGAGTAAACCCCACATTTATTTTAGTAACTATGTTTTATGTTAGTTTAAAAATACAACAAAATTATATTAATAATTATTAGTAAAAA